AAATATTGTAATTAATCACCATGTTGAAAAGTTAATTGTACTGTTCAGTGCATGCCCTAGTTGGAGGCAATAAAGACTTTTGTTGGTTGAATATATTTTCCAGCCAAGAATATAATATTTGTAAAAATATTATGTTACCACTGTAATCATCATTAACTAGGTATGTATTTTCTTCTTCACCCACTGTATGCTTTGCACAGACTAAAGCTGCAATGAAGGCCTTGACAATGAGGGGAAAGTGTCAGGATACAGACATTGTCTTGAACACCTTTCCTCTCACCCTTGGAACACATCTTCTTAGGTTTCTGTTTGATAAGCAGAGAGAACATCCTCCTGTTAGTCTGACTCTCCTGTGCCCAGCCGGTTTCCTGTTCTCTGGATAATGTTCGCAAATTCTCAAACACAATGTGTTGCTCCAGCTTCCAACATGTGGGACATGGGACTTTATTATCTCAAAGACAGTTGAATATAACATTGTGATTAAACTATATGTAAATGGATGCAATAATTTATCGTTAATATGAGCCATTTTTATTTTGATTGATATCCTGTAAAATATATATTTTTGAAAGGATATTCAGTCAAACAGATCAGTTTCATGGTCTAAATACAGTAATACTGCCATAATTTCACTTTTACCTGAAAAAATTGTATTATAGGATTTAAAAGAAATCAAATATATTCAAAATATTTAAATCCTTGGTAATGATACTATGATAATACACCTAAAGACAGAAAAAATAAATAATTTGAGTATCAGTAATGGCAAAGAGAGTGTTTTTTGTGTGTGTATTTTTGTACCTTCATCCATATGCATTTCATATTCTAATAACCAAACCGCACACATTTATTGGTGGAGGGTAAGCAAATATAAATACAATTCATCAAGCCTCAAAATGATTAAAGGCTTAAGTTTTTGCTTCTATATTTAGTAAATTTAAAAGTAAGGTGAAAAGTCACATGCAAAAAGCTCTGCGGTCATTGTGGCCATCATTGGTAGAATTATAGAGGATAAGGAGTTTTTCAGCATGTGGACATGTTTGCATTGTTGGAAATAACAAGAAAGTAATATTAGAGGGGGGAAAGATGTTTGTATGGGTTGCAGAAATTAATGCAGTGGCAATAAATTCTATATGCTATAAAAGGAAACAGAAAAACGATAACAGAACATAAATATTTTAGCGTGTTTATAAAAAAAAAAGTAAATTAAGAGCTACCCGGGAAAAGCTACCCTTTTACAGGTTCTGTTTACCATAACCTTTAGTTTATTTTTAATAATGATTTGTAGTTGAGGATTGAAGAGCTGATGAAGATGTGTTCCAAATAGAAGGTCATCTATATTTAAGTGGACTTTGCTCAACTGATGTTCTGCATAATGGTAAATATAAGACATTGGACTGTCTTGTTAAATAAGTGGGTAAATCAGAAGAATATGTGGAAATCAGTAGATAAATATACATGTTCATACATAATAATAAAATATGTGCAATGTATGTTCACAGTAAATATTGTGAAAATACTTTCTTTTGTAAAAAGAGAAGCAGATGAAGCTCTATCTGAAAAATTCTAGGTAAAAATATTGTTCAGCATGTATTTTCAGTATGTTGGTTCTATTTTGAATTTTCATCAACAATAACTCCTAAGAACTTGGTTTGAGACACCTGATTGATCCCTACATTATCAATAAAGAATTTTTTGCATTCTTATTTTTTGTTCTTTTGTGTTTTTTTGTGATGAAAACATTAATCTGCTTTTTAATTTGACAGGCGATGAGTAATGTCTACTTTGCCAGGTTTTAGAGTTGAAGTTTAATCTTTTAAATTTAATATTGGCATATTGGTATATAACATCCCACTCGACAGTCTAGAACTTTACGCCCACAGTTAAACTGTGAGTAGAAACGTCATCTATTCATTTTAGAGAAACCTGTTTGCACGTCTATTTTTTTTTAAAGGCAGTGTTTTTTAAATTACCTGCAACATTCTTGTTTATTGTACCTTTGTTTTTTGTAATGAAAATTATAATCTCCTTTTTGATTTGACAGCGGATGAGTAAAGTCAACTTTACCAGGTTTTAGAGGTGAAGTTTAATGTTTCAAATTTAACATTGGTTACTTTCATAATTGCTCTTATCTTTTTTTATTGTTTAAAATAAATTAAGATATTCAAATTGTACTATAGATAGCATTCATTACTACTAGTGTTGTTCGTTTTTTTTAAAAACTGTTATTACTATGAACTCTGTCTCAACGGCTTAGAACTTTACCCCCACAGTTGAACTGCGAGTAGACCGCCTCATTATTTAATTTTTGTGGGGGCAGAACAAACCTGTTTGCACGACTGTTGTTTAAAAAAGGCAGTGTTTTTAGATCACCCACAACATTCTTGTTCATCACATTTCTGCTTTTTTTTTTTTTTTGCCAATCCACTTTAGTGTTCCTTATTTGAATCCTTTAAAGATCAGTCTATCTGTCCCTCTCCTACTTTGGAGTTTAGAATACTAAAACCAAAGTCTGCTGCTATTTCTACTTCTGTCATAAAAGCAGAAGCAGATATCACTGCTAAATACCATTACAACCACAAAGTCTTGTAGAAAACTAGCAGCCCTCTCCTATTCTGCGTTTTCTCCCTATACTATCCTCCCAATCCTTATTGTACATTTTTATTCTCACAAAGCATCTTCCACTTTATGAATGCATGTAACTCTAGCAGCTAAAAGTACTTGTAAGAAGCATCATTGCATAATGTTTATTTAAGCTATTAACTTTGGTTGACTGACAATTTACTCCAGCGAATAACATTTCTCGAGATGGATTCTGGCTGTGTTGAGAATAATGCTTCAGAGGCTCCCATGTTGTTCTGCTACGATTCTGAGGACCGAGTTTAGTTTGGCCTGAATTTCTGCACTTGATGGTTTATACATATTCAGCAGTGCGAGACACTGTGCCACGAGGTTCCCCTCACACTTAATATGTCAGAAAGGATGTAGAGGATAAGAATGTATGAATTTCAGTTTCTCATCATTTGTATGGTCAGGAAGTTGATCAGTTCCTCGATGAACCATTTAGATATTCAACAATTATTTAGAAAAAAAAAACATGTTTAAGAACTTTATTTCAGGAGGATACCAAAGCTATTTAATGCCAGCAGTGTAACTTCATTGATCAGTTGTTGTTTCCCTGGGTCATAGTCATCAGTTAACAAGCCACTTGTAATTCAAAAACAAACAACATCAACTTCCCCTGAAAAGCCCAGTCAAAACAAGCAGCAAAGCCATGCTTGTCCATGCTGCCCCCTCCTAATCAAAGCCAGATGTCCCCTTTAAAAAAACTTTTTTCTCTCTTCTACTCCCTGCACCCCTCTCCAATATCTCATTCCCCTTCTTTTGCCCCCTCATTCTCTTTCCTGTTTGAGGTTGTGTAGACGGCTGGTCCTGAGCAGACATGATTTGGCTATCGTTGGCTTGGACTTTTTCTCTCAGTCTTTTTTTGTGTCTTTAGAATCAGCATCTTGTCAAACAGGCACGGACTCAAAGTGAACCTCTGCAGAACTCACAATCAGTCAAAGAGAAATACCAGACCCACATGGCACATAGCACTGAAGAGGAGTTTTTTGCCGGGAAACTCTTAGTTGCTAGCTCATTCGATGTCATTTCAGTTTCGAAATACATGTCGCAACCTGCCTGGCTAAGTTTGAAGTCTGGACTGCTTTGTGTTTATCTAGGCATAAACCTTGTCACTTTAGTCACAGCTCTTGAAAGAAATACATGCTGTGCTTTTCAGCTCAGCATTTTCAGTTTGACAGGGCCAGAGCAAGACACACAGTGATCGCTAATTTACTTTTCCACCTCAGTGAAGAGAGAAAATAACTTCATGCGGGTGATGCTAAACATTATGGGCAGTTTCGTTCTGTTAACGGCCCTTTTGGGGGAGACCTTTGGAGCTTATTCTACTACCATTGCTCTCAGGTGGCTATCTCAGTGTGCCTCTTTAATCTGAGAAGCAAATAGCTCCCAGTGTTGTCTTTGGAGCCCAAGTACAGCTCTGGTCAGCTCAAATGGGTCCTTGGAGAGAAACAACGAAAGCACAAACTGGTGTGTTTGAAGTCTGTTTCATGATTGGCACTAATATACCGGCTCTCTATCCCTTTATTATGACGGTGAACTGTAAGATATCATAGCAAGAGCCAAGATTTTATACACTTTTGTTGCGCACAAATAATGTCCTGCAGATAATGAATAGATGGTTAACTAGAACTGGAGTTATAGTTAATTATTATCCTATTCAACATCGAAGGCCAAATCAATTTAGTGTTCTTAGGTGGATAATTATAGCCCTGAGTTATCTACTTACCGGTTGTTGATCCAAAACTGGAGGGTTCCGGGACTGGCTGTTAAAATCCAGGTATCCACCAGTCTAGTGGCCCCGGTTAAGTTATCAGCAAAGCTATTAAATTATCAATAAAGAACCTTCTATCTCTGTTTATTCGCACTATTACCAAAGGAATCGAGTTACTCTGAGTGATTAACCCTCCGTTATATGAACGACCAAAACCACTACAGATTGACCAATGATGTCTTTATTCTAATAATTCAGGATTACAGAAATCTAACATCTATGCAAACACTACACACTACTAGAAAAATAAACACGAGGTAGATTAAATGACTAGTTCAAAAGAGAAATAAAAGACAAATCGAAAATAAAGAATTAAACGAGATAGAAACAACGAAATAACTATTACTGGCGTCTGAAATTGTCCAAAATACGCCAGATATTAATACATTCATTAATGTCCGCTAGCAGCAGGTATAGTGCAATTGATCAGTGTAAACTAATACATCCAACTTAAAATCAGCAAATGATTAAATGCATTAACAAGCAGCAGGTGTAATGATAACAGTGCAATCGATCATGAACATTAATACATCCAGCTTAGTATTGGTAAATTATTGAACATGTATTAACAATAGCAGCGTTCAGCAAAAACCCTTTTTTGCCTGGCAATGTAATGATGTGTGTGAATGGTTGTGGCTAAATGGGGACCACCCCCCTTTGTTCTCCACGCGGTGAGGGGAACAAAGAGAAATGGGGGGGGCGACCTGTGATCAAGATGGCGGCGACCACGGGACCCCACGTGGCTGAACGTGATAACTTTATCTCTATCTCAAAGCAGAAACAACGGAGACGACAGGAAAGCCAAGAAAGAAAGAAAAAGCACACACTTATTTTAACCAAATAAACAAACCCTTAATCAGCACAGATAAAAAAAAGAACATCAGCATTAATTAAAAACCCTAAACTGCCTTTCTCTCGCCTGAGCACAGCAATTCTGATGCATCAAAAGAAGGTAAATTGATTTTACTGTGAGATGCGTCGTCCGAGGGAGGTTGGCGTTTCCACGGCAACCGCAGCTTGGTTTCTGTCGGGCAGCGCTTCTCTGCCACCGGTCCGCCCCTCGGGAAAGTTCAGTCAGCTCGGGCCGCAGCAGAGGGGTTGATCTGCTCACGAGTTGGAAGGGAGGGATTTCAGGAGGTGATCTTAGGAGGTGATCGGCAAGAGCGTCCTCTTAACCGATTGGTCCAAGAAAGGGGAGAACGAAACTCCGCGGTCAGCTTCAAAGGCTTTCTATCTCCCAGTCAGCGCTGTTGCTATGCACGATGGAACACTGCGATCCGTGACTTTCGATGCAGGAAAACGAAAGCTACTTCCAGTCAGCTTTCTTCTGATATTTCACGTGAAATGGGCCTCTCCTGACGGGCTGCAAACCCATGGAAAAAGAGGGAGAGTCTTTTCGCGCTGCGCTTTTTAACCCATGGATGACGTGCGGGCACTTCCTGTCTGCGCATCGGCTGATTGGTCCGTGCTGTGAGTAACGTGGGGGTAGTTCCATTGTGGACAAGAACAAAGGGGTAGTTCAGGTGGCAACGGAGATGGTTTAGCCCACTGATTTAGTTCCATGTTGGTAATATACCTCAACATATTCCCCCCTTTTAGCTTTGAAGAGTGGATATCCGTTTCAGTCTTTAAAGCTAACCCAGTTTATTAATCCATATTGCCAACAGGGTTGCGTGTAGGTGTCCACTGTGCAGTTGGCCGTTCGTTAGAGGTGGGTGCTGGCTCAGGGAGAGGAGGCAGGTGCTCGGCGAGTGTATTGCTAGCTAGCTAACTAACCTCATTGTAATGTCACCAAACATTGAAACACAGACATTTGTTGTACATTAGCAACCATGTGGCATTTTGGTTCAGCATATTTGCTTTAAGCAAGAGAAGGGAGGAAAGAAACATGCAAAGGGGACAGAGATAAAAAAAAAAAAAAACTCACTAAACTACTTGTGATTCATAGCCCGTCATTTTCCGTTTTTTTTTTTTCTTCTATGTTTTGACGTTATGGCGCTATGAATCTGGGGGCCACATAGGTGAGGTGCTCGACTTTATGCTGTAACACCTTTACCTTTTGGTATGCCTTATACGTCATTATCGTAGTGATGACCCAACCGAAGATGAAAACAATGATCGGAATAGACATGGTGTGGGTATTCGGCCAAGCATTGTCTTGACGATAATGGAAAAGTGGGGTGGAGAGTAGTTCAGATGGTGTGAGACTAAATTTAACTAGCTGAGTGCCTGCTGCCAGGAGTTGTTTTTCAATTTCGACATCAATACTGAAGTTATATCCTTTGAAGACATCTAGAATTTCAATTTCTGAGTCGTATCGCTCGACATTGAGATGGTGTAAGACTATGTCACCAATTTGGATCACGGCGCCTTGAGGAACTGAAATCAACATTGTTTGATTGGGAAGGTGAATTCTAGTGACTGTGTCGTGTAGTTCGTAGGACAGCAGTGCTTCGGTAGCTGGTGTACTCACTAGCCATTTATTACCTGCGCGCTCTATCATTGTTTCTACTCCTGCATCCTTTAGAGTCATCTTAGCTTGGCAGTTTTGTTCTGGGGATTCGTTTCTAAGTCCGCAGAGGCGGTCTGTTACATCTCTAAGGAATGGGTTGCTGGGGCAGACCCAGTGGATTTCTTTAGTTTTGGTGCATAAGTCTAGGTTAGGGACCAAATAAAGCTGTGGGTTGGCGTCGTTGAAAGCCAACATGGACGGAGTTTTTAGGTGGACGTGGGTTTTATCTCTCCAAAATCCAACGTTTAGTACTGATTTTAGTCTATACACATTAGCCCTTTCAATGATTGGGAGATTTAACATGAATCCGATTTCTAAGTTATCGGGATCTACAAAGAGTGGTATTGCACTACCTAAGCTATAAGCCAGGTGAGTTTGCGGTGATTGCAGAGCACCAGTGACAGCGGATTTCAGCACATTCTCTACTAGTTCCACAGGGACTAAGTAAGGAGGGATTCTTCCTTCAGCTAGGCTGTTTACCGATTCACCAACCTCTTGGATGAGATCCTGCATTAAATCTCTCACAACTTGCGTGTACATTAGATCATTCTTTACCACTTCTGTCAGTGTTTCCAGTGCATGCATGGTGTTGTTTATAAGGGCAGAGTGTAGGTTAACCGTGACTACTGTGCCTTGAAGTGTTTTTGTCTGGATGTTCAGTAGTTTCTGTTGTATGAGGAGCCTTTGCTGGATTTCTGGCATCTCAGAGTCCAGTTCTTGTACATGCTTTTGAATTGTTTTCAGACTAACAGCATTTGCCGCTGAGAGACCTATGGAAAACAGTGATCCGACCGCGGCCACGGAGGCTATGAGTCCGCCTAAAAATCTTTTCGGGCGTTTACTTCCGACGAGATCCTGTTCAGTCACCATAAACTTTTCGAGTTGTTTAAGAATGTGGGTTGTGGTATGTTTGGCATGGTTCACTGTGTCATGGATCTGACTGCCTTGTTGTCGTCCTTCTCCTATCTGAGGCGGTAGTTTAATGTGTTTCCGGTACACGTCCCATGGATCGAGTCGGACGAACACCCGTTGTGTATGGAGTTTACAGTGTGTGATGAGTAGTCCAGGTGTGTCTTGGAGAGCGGTGCCGGTTGGAGGTCCTGTCTCTATTACACTGGATGGTTGGCCCATGGTTGATCCCAGGAGGAAGCCGATTACCCAGAAGATCTCCATCTGTAATAGAGAGACCCGAATTATGACGGAGTGTGTACAGGTTATGTGTCTTTTGGCCCTACTTATTATGCACAACTTCAGTTCTATGCATCTTTTCTTTCCTCCGTGGCGGTGTCGCGTTTGGTTGGTTGGGAGGAGGATTTGATGTAAGGTTTTATTTGATTCGCATGGACCCACCTGTATTCAGGTGCTGGCCTGGGTTTGGAGGTCCTTATTCTATAGGCCACTGGTGAGAGTTTTCCCACGATCTCGAATGGTCCAGCCCATCGTGGAAGGAACTTTTTGGCTCGGCCGGGTGGTTGAGCAAATTTGAAGTAGAAAATCTTATCTCCCACTTCATATTCTGTGTGTGTGGCCTTGCGGTCATAGTAGGCCTTGGCTCCTTCCACGCTGGCCTCTAATTTCTTTTGGGCCCATGCGAATGTTGCTCTGAGATGATCTTTCAGATCGGAGACGTATTGATGTGCTGTATAGGCAGTCGTGACGCTAACATCTTCTGGCTGATAGATAAGGTGTAGCGGAAGAGTCATTTGCCTGCCTGTCATCATCTCGAAGGGCGTAACGCCAGTGGATGTCTGCGGTGTGGACCGGATAGCCATCAGGACCAGGGGCAGTTTGACGTCCCAGTCCTTAGCATGGCTGTCAACATATTTTTTTAGCATACTAACCACCGTGCGGTTCATCCTCTCCACCTGTCCTGATGACTGGGGATGATATGAGATGTGAAACCTGACCTCAACCCCTAGCATCTCGAAGAGTGCCGTCATAACGTTCGAAGTGAAGTGGGTCCCTCTGTCTGAGTCAACTGACAGTGGGAGGCCCCAACGGCTGAACACATGGTTCAGCAGGAGAACCGCAGTGGTGGTAGCTGTGTCCGTTGGGGTGCGGGTAGGCACTCAACCCACTTTGTGAAGCTGCAGGTTACGGTGAGGAAGTATTTGTTGCCTCTTGCTGATTTCGGAACCGGTCCAACCCAGTCTATCTGTATGTGTGACCACGGGAATGTAACCCCCCTTCGTTGAAGAGGAGCCCGGTCAAGGGGCTGGACCGGTTGGAACTGGCAGCAGGTCAGACAACTCTTCACATACACCCGTGTGTCATTTGCCATTAAAGGCCAGTATGCCACCTGCTGAAGCGTGTGTAGGGTTGCTTTGTAGCCTCTGTGTCCTCCCACAGGCGAATCATGTGCGTGAGCGAGCATGATTCCTCTGTGATCCGTTGGAACGACCCATCGGAGTGGGCCGTGTCCATCTTTGGAGTAGACTAGCAACCCTTTTTCTATCTTTAAGTGGGGTAAGCTATGACGAAACGCCTTTAGCTCCTTTGATTCTCCAGTTGGTGATGGTTGATTTCCAGGTGACTTACCATTGCTTACCAACTCCTTGATGGCATGCAGGGTCGGATCTTGGTCCTGCATGGTACACAAGTCCTGGTCACTTGGTTTGCGTCCGAGGCAGAGCATCTCGTTAGCGTTTCCGGGCTTGTTTTGATTGGCTCTTACCTGTTGTCGTGTTACGGCGCAAACTGTGTGGTTTTCAACAGGCTTAGCCCAGTCCTCACGAAACTCCCAGGGAGTTCCACTTTCTGCTCCTAGCCTGGCAAGGCGGTCTGCTTCGTCGTTTCCATCCTTGTCTTGGGCCCGGGGTGCGAGAATGTCCTTTAAAAATTTTTTTCCCAAAAGGGGTCATGTCGTTCTCTGTGGTGAGTCTTTCACATGCTAGGAATATATTTGAGTGTTTGTTTCTTTATTCCTAATTCTTCTTTCCCGGGTTATTTTTCCAAAGGGGTAGGGGGGAGAGAAACTAACCCTGCGATTGGGAGTGGGAAAAGGATCACCAGCTGCTTCGGTTTCAAGGCGGCTGTTGTTGGATCGTGATGAGGATGCTGGACTTCCATATTGGCTCGTTTTTCGCTCCCAATTGGGTAGGGGTTTTTGGTTTCGGGGAGTCGATTCCTGCCAAACTATCCCCCCCGGCCGGTTGGTGTTATGCATGAACCCGCCATCGATCCCTTTTGGGGACCCCTTGCATTTTTTCCGATAATAGCGGGGGGGTGAGAGGTTGTTCCCACAGCTTGGGTGTGTCGGGTTTGGGGTTTGGGGTTATCGCACTCCCCAGGGTTACACCGGCTAACCCCCCCCAAACGCCATCCGTTTTTTTGACCGTATTTTCCCTCAATGCGTAGCCTTGTAACCCCATCACCCATGTCGCGATGGGGCTTCGCACTCCCCCTTCCCCAAAAACCGCGATGTTAAAAGGAAAAGTTCTGGGTAATGTTTCGAAAATCACCTTTTGTCCTCCTATGTAACGCGGAAGTGTTCTACCGCCGGACTGGGGAGAGGGGGCCTTTCACGTCTGAGAATTTTTTTTTCAACCTCGTTAGTGGTCTGCTGCGTATGTACGATCGCTGCCGGGTCGTATTTTGTTCACGCTGCACTCAGGGTGGGATGAGAAGCGGTTCCAGATAAAACTCAGGGTCCTTGCCTGGGTATGCTAAGCAGGGCTGACACCAGTTTGCTTCACCCTTTGGAAAGCCTTTCCTGGGGTTTTCCCCCCAATAACGGAGTGTCTTTGGTAACAATCGGTGAGTGGCCCCCCATGTCTGCTAGTCTTCGATAAACTGGGGGAGTAGTTGCAGCCCCCGAGGAAGCTCCGGAGTTCGGAGAGGTTGGTCGGGGTGCTATTTTGGGAGGCCCTGATCGTCGGCTTGAGGTTCAATGCCGTTTGGTCCGACCGTGAGCCCTACGAGCCCACCTTTTCCTGCCCCACGGACCTCGCTTAAGCTAACTTGGTCCTGCAGGCTACTGGCCCTAAACGTGTCGGATTTCCCGATTTCTTTGAAGGTTTGCTCCCATTGGATGTCATCGACAAAAATGGGTTTCCTCGTTCTGTAGCTGGGCATCCCCTTATGAAGGAAGATTTGAACTCGCGGTGATTTGGGAGTACCCGAAAGGCCCCCTGCCCAAGTATATTGGCGGGTTCCCCAAAGGGAAAACGCCAATTTTTTGGGCAGGGCCGGGTCCCCCCTTCATGTCCAAAAACATTTCCCCGTTAAAGGTTGAGAAGAAGGGTCTTAACTTTTGCCGTTTTGGTCTAAGTGGTCATGGGCCACGCGAAAGCGGTACCCGTTTTTAAAAACGGGAAAAGATGGTGAGAGCCATTTTCCCTTTGGGTTTTAAACACGGCCCAAAAGGGGGATTGTAGGGGGGTTGCATTCCCCAAAAGAAGTTTTTCTCTAGCAGTTATAGGATTTTTGGATCGAATCATAACGGGCCCGGGAAACTTTTATTCGCACGAAGTTGGGGGCGCGTTTGGGGTTTTTTGGGAATACAACCGTGTGCAAATCGTAACCCCGCATGTTTGAGTCTCTAGATAAGATGGTCGGAACCCTAGAAAAGATCCCCGAGTCCCCTTTTTCAGTTCAGTGGATAAAAGGGCGGCCTTCCTTTAAATGCTGGTTTACTTGTCTTCGAACCCTGGGGGGACCCCGGGTTTTGGTTTGCCCTTTCAGGTTCGGTTTGGCTGTCTTTTTTTAAAAAAGGGTTCTAGCGAGTACCTATCAAGTTCCCCTTCGCTTCAAGGGTGGCGCCAAACAGGGATTGACAGGCAGCGCCTCATCCCTTCTGGGCAGTTATCATTTTCGAGGGGAAGGTGGGGGCACTGTCTGCGAAAACCCGTGTGGGGATAGGGATGAGGCAGTTCCCAATGCGGGGTTTCTCAACTCGAAGTCGTGGAACAACTACTTTTGCCCCCCAGGGGTTTAGCGGTTTTTAGTGGGTTGGGGGCCCCGGTTTGGGGTTTTTAAACCAAAAGGGTAGGTTGAAGATTTTTTCAACTCAAGCAAGGGATTTCCCCGACAAACCCGATTAGTTTGTGGAAGTGAGGCAGAAAAGGGTTTGGGAAAAGGACCAAGGGGTTTTCATTTCTTGACCTTTAGGATGACTAGCCCGGGCTGGACACCCGTGATAGTGTATCAGCATATCTGTTTCGATGGCACCTGACAGGCTTTTTGGAATGGTCTCCCCGACCTCATGCCTCGGGTTTTCCAAAAAAAAGAAATGGTGGTGTTCGGCCCGGGGCCCACAAAACTTGGTTGCAGTGTCCCCGTTGTACCCCTAGTCGGGCCAAGAGGTCGGGCCCATCAGAATCGGAGTGAGTGGATGCCCAGCTAAAAGGGTGCAAAATTTTTTGGGGGTCCGATGTTTTTCCCTAAGCATACATACCCCGTGCTTCATGATCGGCGAGGCCCCATCGCTGAAAATAGGGGGTGGCAACGTTTAAATTTAACCCGGTCGGGTTCCCTGGCATAAAGAAAGGTACAGTTTTTTTTTCTTATGGTGACTTTTCCAACCCAAGGGTAGGGGCCGATTCGGTTGGAAGACGCCTTCCCAATGAATGCCCCAGTATTGGGGGGTTTAAACCTTTATTATCGGGAAAGGGGTGAGAAGGCAAGGAAGGATTCATGGTGCGAAAGATGCCTTTTTGGGTTTTGCTTTGACCTTTAGGTGGAGCCCCCAAAAAGTGGGTTTTGGGGAGGGGTGGTTGTGTTTTTGGGGTTTCGCAACTCGTTAGCAGGTTACCAGATGGGGAGGGAAAAAGCTTTTTCTTGAGGGGAAAAGGTTTGGGTTTTCCACCTAGCCCATAAAGGTCCCCTGGTTTCATCAAAAAGTGGGGCCAACCTTTTCCCGAGGTCTTGGCCACAAAAAGGGGTTTTTACCAATTTTCAAAAATAGATGGATGGGTTTGAGTCATGTCTCGGAAGTGCATCTAACCACCCCCTTGTGATGCTGACTCTCGGGGGGTAGCTGGGGACCCTACGTTTGGGGGCTCCCCCTGGGAAGGCTTTCCAAAGGGGGTTTTATGCTCTCTACCTTTTTTAAAAGTGGGCAAAATTTGACTAATTTCTGAAAATGTTAGAAGAGCATCAGCAGTGAGCATCCCCCCTTTTTGGAGAACAATATGGCGCGTGCGTTTTTGTGAGATGGACTCACCCCAAAAACTTCAAGAACGGGGTTTTGTGTGTGGGGTTTGGAGGGTTTACCTTTGTTTTAGGGGGGGTTTTCCCCCCTCATCGGGAGACCCTTTTTTTGGGTGGGTCCCGAAACCCCGCCTATCATGGGACGGAGGGTTTTTTTGGGTTTTGGTTTTTTTTCGGTATCGGGGGGATTTTTTGGGGGCTGGATGTGTTTGGGATCTGTTCACCGTTTCTGTAAGTAGTTGCCCTAAGGCGGCTTTTTATTTTCCCCCACATTGTTGTTGTCCTTTGGTCGCATTTTTAGGCCTTACCCTTTTTTTCAGGGTGGCTGTAGACTTCGCTCTGTGGTTTAACCTCACATTTGGATCCTTACCTTTTTTCCCTCTGCTATCTTTTTCATCCCCCCTTTTTTTTCCTGTGGGGTTTAAATTTGACGTCCCCCTTTGGATTGTTTCCTGACTTTGTCAGAGGAGGGAATCTCTCTTCCCCCGTTTTTAGGTTTACCTGCTTGGTTGACTGAAAAACCTATTGCTCCGTCAGTTTCCTTGTTGACCCGAGAGTGTTTCCAAAGCCATTGAGCAATTTTTTATTTTCCGCATGGGAAAGGTTTCTGGTTTGGGGTACAAGTAACATCGTATTTTATGCTTCATGGAGATTGTGAAGGGAAAAGGTATTAAGGTGGTTTCCTCCCGCCAGGGGCGCTGCCCCTAAAATATGAGTCGTAAAGACGTAAAAAATCTCTCGGGATAAATTTTTTTTCTGTTTTATGCCAAAGCACTGAACACCAGACCTGGATCAGGGTACAGGTATTCCTTCTCAGTGCTTTTAAAAGAGAGGAATAAGGTCTCGGATCGCGGGGCCCAAGGTTTTCTATGAACCATGCATCCTTGAGGGGTCTTCATATTAGCTTTAAATTTTCCGGGGGGAGGAGAGGAAATCTAAAAGACAGGTTCTACCCTCTAAGGTATCCCAATGGGGGAAAAAACCCCGTTTGCTGGGGTCAAAAAAACCCTTCTATGTCGTGGGGCAGGGATTCGAGTTGTGCATCCGTAATCCCCGTTTTGGGGGTGGGGGGTGGACCCTCTAATCCTCATCTGAAGCTCTAGCCCCTACGTCGCGGGGAGGGGGGGAAAGCTTGCTCGCCTCCTTGGAGGCGGTGGACCCCTCTGGACACTGGTGGGCCCGTTGCTCCCTAGCCCCTAGGCCATGGGCCCCGGTCAGTGGGGGGTCGTCACAGTTCCCATGGTTGTCTACAGCTGCCTTTGTGGAAGGTGTGTAAAAACAGATCTGCTTTGCGTTTGGTCTGACCCGCTTGTCGTCAAAAAATGGACCTGGCGCCGCCAGTCCGGCAAAACCCCGGGTCTAAAACTGTTTGCTCGTGGAACTAGCACACCCCAAACCAAACCTTTCCCTTCTCCCCTATCTAGCTCTCTGCTCTGTGGAACTACGCACTACACTACCGAACCTTCCCTGCTCCCTCATGCTAGCTCTCTGCTCTGTGGCTGCCAGAGGAGGATCTCCCCTGGTACCCCATTTATCCAACGTATCTAAAGCAGGGATGGGTTTACTTTCTTCTCTCTTAAGAGAACCTTCTGTTCTGATCTTCTCTTCTTCTGATCTTTCGTCTGACTCTTCGTCTGACCCCTCGTCTGACCCTTCATCCTGTGGGCAGGGAGCAACCCCCCTTTGCCGTTCTTCCAGGAAGTTAGAGGTCACCATCCTATCCTCTTCTGCTCTTCTTGCCCTTCCTTCAGCTTCCGCACGCATTTCTTCAGCTTCTGCACGCATTTCTTCAGCTTCTGCACGCAGTTTTTCGGCTTCTGCACGCAGTTTTTCGGCCTTCACGCGCTGTTCTGTTTCTAACTGGGACTTCCTCTGATACAGCAACGCAAGTTGACCAAGCACGTTTGCAATAAGCATCTCTTTCCCTGGCTTCTTAGTTGACTCCATTAGCTTCTCAATCTCGCTTTCACAAGCCTCTAGATCCAAACTACCAAGGGCTCTGTGTTCGTCTTCTGACAACGAAATCAATGAGCTTATTAAGTTCTGGGCGTCCATTTCGATGGAGGCCGCAGAAGCTCCCACTGCTTGCTGATCCTGATCCCTATCCATTTGATTCGCTAGGGGGGGAAACACAAAGCAGGAAACGCAGCGCACTGGCTACAAATCGCTAACCGTGTTAGCACTACACGCACTAAACAAACACGCTCCGTTTACTATAGGTTCGTTTCCTATACGGCAGGTGTAGAACGTGCGGATAAAACAAATACGCAGGTTGCTTTCAACGTGCGACCTCCTCTTTAATTCGACAGGTTGCCGATTTGCTTTTAAATCTGTGGGTTTCTAATGGTTTGATTCACTCACCTTTCAGTAAGTAAGATTGGCTGGTTCAAAAGTGTGTATATGTGTATAGATGTGTGCGTGTGTATGTATATATGTGTAAAACACTGTTAACAAACAACTCTTGCACACAAAATGGATAACGCAGTGTTAGAAAACCTGGCAGAAGTGGTAAAAGGTGGCAGCAGCTGCACAATTAAACCTGAGGTTTTGTTTCTTTATACCTGCAGTTTAAGTTTAACCACTCTCCAATTGTTAAAACACTGTTTGTCCACAGCACAGAAAGCAATAGTGAAACAGCATGAAAGAAAGAAGAATAAAATTTAAGAAGAGAAAAAAAAAACAAGTCACTCCTTCTCTACACCATTCAGCTGCAATTTCAGAAGCCACCACCAGGGGGAGACAAGGTGCCTTCGCCTGGGAATTTTCAAACTGTTGTTGCAATAACACGCTTACGCCACCAGATGGCGCCAAAGAGAGCACTACACAATTTGGGTCTCAAACACTGGAACCAGCTGAGTAATTGTAATTACATAAGCTACCACTAGGGGGAGATGACAATCTCTGCCAACGTGGCCTACACTGACCCAGTCGCTGTGACTTTAAAAACCCTTTTGTGCTGCACCAATCCACAATTTGATCTCACGGCTTCAGAATAGCAGCAACCAACAAACAACGCAGCTGAAGTCCCAAATCACCAATTCTCTATTGGATTATGAGTCTGAGATTCAATTAACTGGCCGTTAAATCTACTCAAACCCGCTGGACTCCGTCACTGCAACACCACAAATACACCCGGTCTATTTTAGCAGTAGTAGCGCTTTTAGCTGTTTTTAATTTCTGGGTGATTTATCTGTTATTCATATAGCGGAAGTTTCAATCTCAGGCCCACCCAGGGACGCCAATATGTTGCGCAAAAATAATGTCCTGCAGATAATGAATAGATGGTTAACTAGAACTGGAGTTATAGTTAATTATTATCCTATTCAACATCGAAGGCCAAATCAATTTAGTGTTCTTAGGTGGATAATTATAGCCCTGAGTTATCTACTTACCGGTTGTTGATCCAAAACTGGAGGGTTCCGAGACCGGCTGTTAAAATCCAGGTATCCACCAGTCTAGTGGCCCCGGTTAAGTTATCAGCAAAGCTATTAAATTATCAATAAAGAACCTTCTATCTCTGTTTATTCGCACTATTACCAAAGGAATCGAGTTACTCTGAGTGATTAACCCTCCGTTATATGAACGACCAAAACCACTACAGATTGACCAATGATGTCTTTATTCTAATAATTCAGGATTACAGAAATCTAACATCTATGCAAACACTACACACTACTAGAAAAATAAACACGAGGTAGATTAAATGACTAGTTCAAAAGAGAAATAAAAGACAAATCGAAAATAAAGAATTAAACGAGATAGAAACAACGAAATAACTATTACTGGCGTCTGAAATTGTCCAAAATACGCCAGATATTAATACATTCATTAATGTCCGCTAGCAGCAGGTATAGTGCAATTGATCAGTGTAAACTAATACATCCAACTTAAAATCAGCAAATGATTAAATGCATTAACAAGCAGCAGGTGTAATGATAACAGTGCAATCGATCATGAACATTAATACATCCAGCTTAGTATTGGTAAATTATTGAACATGTATTAACAATAGCAGCGTTCAGCAAAAACCCTTTTTTGCCTGGCAATGTAATGATGTGTGTGAATGGTTGTGGCTAAATGGGGACCACCCCCCTTTGTTCTCCACGCGGTGAGGGGAACAAAGAGAAATGGGGGGGGCGACCTGTGATCAAGATGGCGGCGACCACGGGACCCCACGTGGCTGAACGTGATAACTTTATCTCTATCTCAAAGCAGAAACAACGGAGACGACAGGAAAGCCAAGAAAGAAAGAAAAAGCACACACTTATTTTAACCAAATAAACAAACCCTTAATCAGCACAGATAAAAAAAAGAACATCAGCATTAATTAAAAACCCTAAACTGCCTTTCTCTCGCCTGAGCACAGCAATTCTGATGCATCAAAAGAAGGTAAATTGATTTTACTGTGAGATGCGTCGTCCGAGGGAGGTTGGCGTTTCCACGGCAACCGCAGCTTGGTTTCTGTCGGGCAGCGCTTCTCTGCCACCGGTCCGCCCCTCGGGAAAGTTCAGTCAGCTCGGGCCGCAGCAGAGGGGTTGATCTGCTCACGAGTTGGAAGGGAGGGATTTCAGGAGGTGATCTTAGGAGGTGATCGGCAAGAGCGTCCTCTTAACCGATTGGTCCAAGAAAGGGGAGAACGAAACTCCGCGGTCAGCTTCAAAGGCTTTCTATCTCCCAGTCAGCGCTGTTGCTATGCACGATGGAACACTGCGATCCGTGACTTTCGATGCAGGAAAACGAAAGCTACTTCCAGTCAGCTTTCTTCTGATATTTCACGTGAAATGGGCCTCTCCTGACGGGCTGCAAACCCATGGAAAAAGAGGGAGAGTCTTTTCGCGCTGCGCTTTTTAACCCATGGATGACGTGCGGGCACTTCCTGTCTGCGCATCGGCTGATTGGTCCGTGCTGTGAGTAACGTGGGGGTAGTTCCATTGTGGACAAGAACAAAGGGGTAGTTCAGGTGGCAACGGAGATGGTTTAGCCCACTGATTTAGTTCCATGTTGGTAATATACCTCAACACTTTATTACAGCATCTTTTTTTAAATGGAGAAATATGTTAATGTTTTGGTTGATGCAATAATTTAGCTATTCATTTTAATGGCCAACAAAATGTGTAACATCCCAATTCGTCTCTTAAGGTCCTTCCTGTTAACGACCCTTTTTCCTAATAACTTCATTAGATCACTTAATTAAAAACTCTGGTAAAACAAATCTTTAATACTCCTTTGGGAAACAGCTGCAAAATATTACATTGTACCAGGAACCGCAATTTGAAACCCAAAGGTTCTCTTTTTGGGGTGGGGGTTTGTTTAGGACTAAGATGTAAATTGAGTTTAGGTTATGTTTAGGGTTAGGTATGTGTTGGTAATGGTTAGGCTTAGGGTAAGGGTCTGGGTTAGTGTTATCTTCTTGTCCTTTTTCATTTCCAGGAAAAGGGACCTGAAGATGACCGGCTTTTTAGCTAAAAAGGTAAAATGCTCCTTTCAGAGTAACTTCAAGTAATCATAACATTCTTACTTCAGACAGCATCGTGCAAGTTGTCACAAATGATTTAGGAGAAAATGCCGCATTTATCATTTTTCTATTTCTAATTCCTTCAGGCACAAACTAGAACCTAGCTTTTCACCAAATTACTACATTTGTTATTACTAAGAAGTTGTTGTCCATTTTGTTAGGCTATATCATGATATATTATATAACTCTACAATTATGAATTACATTTTTATTTTCTGATCACAGCTACACACACCTACAGCTGGCATGTCGGTATCCAGTGTACAGTGATTTAATTTTAAGTGCAGTCAGTGGCCTCTATAGGGGATCAAGATACTATTGAAAAAAGAGATCTAAAACAGAAAATAGATAGAAATTTCACAATGAATGTTCAGTAATGTGTTGTTGCTTAAAACTCTTTAAGAGTGAGACATTAATTCAGTTTTTTTCATAACTTGGCACCTTGGCTTTGATAATACACAAAATGTAGAGATTTAGAGTTTGGTGAAGGAATGACAGATGTGGTCCTGAGATGTGCAGACATTTTTTTTATACCATTTTTGGATCAAATCATTTTCTTTATTATTCTTTTTTTTATTATTTCAACACATGTATTGTTATTTGTATTTACTGTTATAGGTTTTTATTCTATTTTTACTTCTGTAACAGTTCAACGTGATTTACAGTTCTTGTGATTTATTAACCTCTGGTTTGCTTTTACTCGTCCTTTAATTGTGCTACTCAGCTCTCAGTCAGCAGAACCTCAATCTCCAAACTGTTTAAGTCTCTCTTCTTCATCAATGCTATTTTTGTTAATGAACACCATCTGACAAGCGCTGGCCATAGCCTTAAACTGAATTATCGGGCAGTAGTTATGCAGATTTGAGAATAATTCTTACTAATGTTCCCTCACTTAAACACAGGTGGACTGCATCACATTTCCGAGGATAATTTATCCAGTTATCTGAAGTTAAGAATGAATGACGAGAATTCAAAGATGGTGCTTTATAAGACCCAATGTTTCTAAAGAAAGTGCCATAGTTTTCTTCTTCCATACATATTTCATGCATAATAAAGTGTAATTTCAGTCCATCGCCAGAGGGGGCAAACATCTACAAAAGCTCTAAAACTTGCTCTATGCTTTCTTAATAACTTAGTCTGGAGCTGTTTCTTGGATTCCCCTCTGCTTTACAAGCACCAACATCATCCATTTCCCCAAGACTGGTGCAAATAACACATGTAATAATAAAAGTATTTAACTTTAAAAAACAGTAAATTCTGACTTTCTTGATTTCAGTGCAACCAAATTTCAATTTGACCAAGGGAATGATCAAATTGAAATTCAAATATAAATATTGTTGGGCTACATCTGTTGGTAGATTGCCAGCTTCCTAAATGACAAGCAGGGGAGTATTTTCTCTCCCCAGGGGTGTGTTCTCTTCCCAAACTTCCTTTAAAATAATCACTGCCTCTCAGCAGATCCCTCTGTGAAACTTCTGAAGTTTGCTGTTTTCACAACTTAGACTGATACAGGAGGTGGACAGGTCTGCATACAGATAGGAGATGGATTCACTGGTTTGCTGGTGTGATCAGAACTACTTAATTAGTCGTTTAGTAAAGATTCTTCCATTGAGTTTCAAATGTATTGTGAAACACAGATTTATTTGGTTTTGTAAAGTCAAATGGTTAATAAAAACTTAAAATAATTTGATATTTGGTAACATAAATATTTTTTTTCAAACAGGAAAGTGTGTCTGACTTGCTAGAAGTGAACGTTGTTGCCTCTCTTATTGAACTAATGCAATACAGGCCAGCATATTCTTGAGTGGGACACTTGTAAGAAGAAAAAGGGTCTCATTGCGAGAGATCAGCTTGTGTAAACATTCAGGTTAATGAAGCTCAGTGGGCTTAATCCTCGACCCTCTTTCTCACTCTCCCTCACCCTAGCCTTAAACCCTGTCACCCCTCCCCTAGTCTCCCTCCTACTCCAAACATATTTTTCCACAATAATCCCTAGTTGGGGCAGGCACTGTCAATCAAAAGAACCTCGGGAAAGAAGGCAGAGGAAGTAGCTTGATTGAACTGATGTGTCTGTATGTGTGCTTATAAGGGTTTATGTTGGTATAAACCCTTATAGTCACATAAAGCAGTCAGTGTTTCATGTGTTAACATTAGAGTGTGAATAAGTTATTGAACAAAGACCACAAACACCACCTACATATTCAGATATGTCCAAAATCTAGCTCCTTTAAGACTGGAGTCTGTTCCCCAACAAGGGAACCACACCACTTTAAATCATCTTAATTCAAACAGCTGGAGATCCTGAACATAAACTCAATGAACTACAAAATAAATATAATGACATTCCAAAAAATGACAGAGAAAACACAGGTGATGTGGTGATGGTAGTTATTAAAAACAGGCTAAGCATTGACGTGATGCCTTGAGACATTGGTAGGAGCTGGGATCTAAATCCTAACGGGATAGGCCAGGAGGCATCATTGTCAAGTTTGCCCACTACAACATCAGGGGCTGGGTCTACAAGGCGAAGAAACGTCTCAAGGGAACCACACCAAAGATACATATTCTGGAGAGCTTTACTACAAAGAGGGCTCTTGCAGTGCAAGAAGAGCGCAGGCAGCAAGCACCTTTCTTCTGCTAGCTGAAATATGCAATAAACAAATACGTATATATTTATCACTTAAATAAGGTCTACAGATGTACAAACAGTGATAGCATGCATAAGTACAACATGCAAGTCATGTATTGCGGTGAATCTTGCAATACTAGTCTTAAGGGAATGATATATTATATCGCTATTAATTTGTGTGGAATTGATCATAAAGCCGTATGTTCGGAAAGGAAGCTCAAGGCGGAGAAAAAGCTAGAGAATATATATATACGTATATATGTGTGTGTGTTTGTTTACATACATACAGGAGTCATGGAACTGTGCTTACAGCTCCTTCATATTTCATGTACACTAATAACTTGTGTACATGGTTCTTGTTGATGGCATCAAAATCATTTCTAATAGCATTAAAATAGCATAAAATTAGAGTCACTCATTCCTGTATAAACCCTGTGAGCGTTTAATTTAATATGACATATTAAAAAAATCTCACCATCATCCAGCATATGTTCAGTTTCTGCCCAAATATATATATATATATATATATATATATATATATATATATATATATATATATATATATATATATATATATATATATATATATATATATATTTGTAGATTTTTGGAACGAGGATAAGGATAATTCAAAACTGCTTTTTTTGAATGAACTTGTTCTCTACTCCCAAACTCAGCATCTCTTTTCATTCCTGTAATTAGAAGTTTCTTTTGAATGGATTTGATTAAACTTTAAGTCCCTCGGTATAAAATAAATATTTTGATGGAGATGAGAAATCTGCTTCCTCGTTGGTGAATAACCAATAGTTTGGATCCAATCATTTAAACAAATGGTGTTGGTTTTTTTTTTTTTTTATATATATAAGAATTGTGCTATAATTTCTAGTCACCGATCTGTTACTGCTATATTTGACGAACCAGAATTTGTCGATGTTCTTTTTCCTGTTTGGTGCGATTGCAATTGTGGATCTTGACCTGGCCGGACCGGAGCAAAAAATAGCTCGGTTCCGTAATTTGTCGGTGACGGACGGAGAAGACGTACGTGGACGGAGACGTGCGGAGGAGTAGCGGTGGATGTGGAACAGCTCTCATTGATTTCCATGAAAGAAAAGCGCTCAGTGGGGCGGTGACGGAGTATGTGGAATCTGGGGGTAACCCCCAGATTCCACATACTCCGTCAGCGCTGCATTTTGCGAAATGGTGCATTTTGCGAAATGTATTAAGTGGCAACTAAGGTGGATCTTCTTTTCCTTTCCCAGTCTTCCAATGAATTTGGAAATGCAAAGACTGTGGTGCCTCTGTGTCACGAAGATCTGAGCTTGTTAAACATTATAAGCTCGAACACAGACATTATGGATGCCACCATTCCTATCCATGCATCCATTTAAACTGTCCATGTACCTGCAAAACTTGGAAGGCACTTTTGACCCACTTGTCAAGATCTCATCAGCAATCCTCACAGACTGAACTAACCACATTTAAATGTCTCTTATGCAACTGCAATAAACGTTCAACTTTTACAGAATATTTTCAACATATAGCTCAGCATCTGAAAAATAGTGAAACAGTTGTTTGTGTGTTTGAGGGGTGTTCGTATAGAACAAATATTTATGGTTCCTTTCGAACTCACAGAAGCAGAAAGCATAAGAATTGCTCGGTAAATGACTTGAAGCTTGGGATAATACAGAAACAGGGGTCAATTTTAGTTGTTTCCGTTGAAAGTGATTCTGATAGTGTCGATTTTGATTCCCCTGATTTAAGTGCAGCTGTCTTGGATGATTCAAGTTTGGATTTAAATGACTTGACTCGTAATGTTGAGCTCAAAGTTGCCTCTCTCTTACTGAAGTTAGAACATATTTAACTTGTTCCTA